CACCCCCCGAAAGCACAGAACTCGATTTAATATCGCCATCTCCCATTACGATCGAAATTTTCCGATTTTCCTCCGGCAGAAAATCTCCTCTACGTGGCCCCTCGGCTTCTAAGCTGCGTGGAAATGTTTAACAGATTTTATAATAATTCTGTCTTCCTTTTTTCATCTCGAAGATGGCGAGTTATCATGGGGCAACCCTTTTTTCTGGGGATTAGGGGAGGTCTTCCGGGAAGTTTCCTCGTTTTCAGGGAGTTCCGGGGAGGGAGTCTAATTGGCATTAACCGTTCAGTCGATCCGGGGCAGGTCCCGAATAGTTTTCCTCGGAAAACCACCCTGAAAGGGCCATTGTTCCAGGAGAGGGCGCGGGTTATATTGAGAGTCTCCTTGCTCCGGCGACCATACGCATTAGATCGCCAATAGAGATGCTAATTCGGTTTCGATTGGCCAACGAGGTTGTGTGTGCGAAATCGAACGGGGAGGCCTCTAATGCGATCCCGGACCCAATTACATCCCCCGCGTTTACGGCGCTCCCCCGCCATTGGGCAAGGGTAGAAACCTATGGTGGAGGCTAAGGGGATGCACTCGCGAAGACCAGAAGATGCAAGGGGTGCGAAGATGCAACCACTCCGATGTGCACCTACGTGTACCCATATCGGAGGTCTGCACCTCGTGGTCGGCCTCTTTCGAGACCTTTGCATATCTCGAAGAAGACACCGAAATATTTCAAAACCTTCAAATTCGTCATCGATTCGAAATGGTATTTTGATAAAATTCTCGGGCGATGTAATTCCCGATTGGAAAAAAATTTTGAAGACCGCCCGATCGATGCAGTTCAGGGAAAATTCGACGATTATAAATTAAACGAGCGGCGGTCTATCGATCGGAGGGACCCGAGGCGTGACTCGAATGTAACGCCGGCTCTTTTTCCCTCTTTGCCGTAAAAAGCGGTCCTTGTAACGAAGCCGGGCCGCGGGCAGCCATTTGCAAGCACTCGGTCCTCGTTAAGGCCTCGTAAGGTCCTGTGCAAGGACGCGGTGCAGGCGCCGCCACCGCGGGCGCAATCTTCCAATTTGTCGGTGCGTCTAATAGCGGCGCAAACGCCGCGCAAAAAGGCAAGGGCCCGGCCGGCTAACGACATAATTTGAAACTCAATTCCGTTCTTGGTCGGATCCTCGGCCGTTACCTCAAGCTGACCGTCGTTAGCAACGCTCGCGAGCTGTTTAACAATTACCGCGTTATCCTCCCTTTTCCACCGCGCGAGGAGATACGCGCGGAAACGAGGCGCTTAATTTCTGGGCCAAGCGGGAAAAGCGGGACCTGGAAAGGAGAGATTTTCGGTGGAGTTTTTCCGCGGTGTTCAGGAATCCTGGATAAAAAGGGGCGACTCCAAACGCGAGTAACGAGCACGTGCAAGACCAAGATTCGACTTACAATTAGTCTCGAAAGGTCGAGTCTTGGTCTTGGAATTATGGTCATGTCTTGGTCTCGATCTGGAAAAAGCGGAAGACTACGGCGATGACCGAATCCGATCGTTGCGAAGTGGGTGGTGGGTGGCCGAAGTCTTAACGCGGCGACTTCGCGACTCGGCGGTTGCCAATTTCTGAATAAATCGACCGACCCGCGGCTCGGTTGTTTATTTTCGAAATTAAATCGAATTGGCCCATAACTTGCTGGTCTATTAGCCCCGGGGACCGGGCTAGTTTGCTCGTAAATCTCCGAAGTATCGGGCGCGGGTAGCACCCTCCGCGGGGGGTGGGGATTCGATTCGGCCGACAATGCGCGTCCGAAGGCTCCCAGGAAATGCATGGGCGTGGTGCCGAGATAAATGTACTCTTGCATTTGCATACTTACCTCCTGTCCTTCTCCCGAGGAGTCCCCAAGGAACGCCCACTTCCTTGTCGATCATACTCGACGGAAGTCCCGCGTCGTCCGCACGCGGTTTCGTCCTCGTTAGCGAGCACAAACCCTGCGCCACCTTCCCCTCTTGAGTACTTTCCGAGCGAAAGTACTTTACCAACGATACGGTAATTTCAATCGATATCCTAATCCACGAGAAATCTTGGAGCAACTAAACGGCAAGAAACTCTCCTGCCAAATAAAAAAGCGCTACATCTTCCCGTTTATTTTCTTTAATTGTGCTAAAGTGGTCGTGTCAGCTTAGCGGACGTTTCTCTCCCGCTCGACTTCACAATTTTTTTTTCTATTTTTTCCTCGGTATTTTCTGCCATGATAAGGAGCCGGGCAATTGAATGACTCGGCCAGAATGGACACGCGACCCGCCACGATGGTAATCAGGGGATAAGACACCGGAAGTCCATCGAGCGAGGTGACCGGCATTTTTTTTCCCCGGCCACTAATTGCTCTTGATGACAGCGCCCGGACTCGTCAATTAATTTTTATTCTTCCGAGGAAAACGAAAGCGTTCTCGCGATTCGCTCGCTCGGTTCCTATAAATCGCGGTCCCTTCGATTTCTTACTTCGCCCGTTATTGGGCTCCCGTTGGAAGGAAACGATGGAGGCTACGTGTCCGATTCGGGAACTCGAGCCTCCAACTTGTACCTCGGCTTCTCACTTTCGCTGGTGGTGGAAGGGACGGAAATGGATCACGGGTCTGGATCCTGAAGAGTAGCCTGAATCGCGCTCCTCGGTCATGTGCCGAGGAAATAACCCGAGAAATAACCTGCACCGACTCCAGACCCCACTTTTTCCCTCGAAAGACTACAAAAAGGACCAGAAAAATGATCCCTTCCGGAGATAAAGTCGAGCGAACAGATACAGGTGTTCTAAAAATTGGATCCAAATCCTGAATTGACTACCGAAAAATAAATATCACCCATTGGAATTGAAACGTCGTGAGTTCAGATTATTCCAGTAACCCTTGGAAATAACCTGCACTGATATGAATTTTTTTGACGTGGATATCTGGACCCCCGGGGGGATGCTGCGCCTCATCCGGGAGAGACGGCTCGCTAAAATGCAAGTACTGCATACGGAAGATACAAGGACACCGAGTTCGTCGGACTGTACGTCATTGTGATGTACAGGGCATCTCTTGAATAGCGTGCCAGCGGATTCGGATCCAAAATCGAAAGCCCATTGTGATAGCAGCCGAGAGACGCCGTATCGGCGCTTTTCCGGGTCACGAGATTCTCGTCCGGAGAGCACCGGGATCCGTGCGCTGAATTAATTATTCTTCGAGCCCCGAATGTATATATGCACGTATATACACCTATATGCACATCGAACGCCTATCTCTCCGTACGTGCGTACTTAATCGCGCCCTGCCTTCCTCGCGATTCCTCCGCCACCTGCCCCCCGGGAAGAAAATTCTTCATAATTCCCCGCTCCTCCTTCCACCCCCGAAAGATTTCATCCCCTCTTATTAAGCGCTATAACTCTCGGCGCGGTCATTGCGGCCCCCCGCGGATTTCGGGCGCGGTGCAGCGGACTGCATCGCGGAAATGCATTTTTCATCAACGCGGTCCGCTATAAGCCTCAAAGGGCCGCCGGACGAGGCGCGGAAGCCGAGTAATCCCGGGAATTTGAATATCTTTTTCCACGTCGGGAATATTTAAATAAAAGGGTAATAAGAACAAAACGAAAATAAAGGAAAATCGAGACGTAAATAAAATGCACTCTCGGTGCGGCAATTTTTCGGCGAGGGACCAGAGACGATTGCATACGATGAGGCCGAGACTTATTGGAAAAAAGAGATATAATAACAAGATCAACTTCACTCTGGGCACTCGCGGGGACGATTGGGGCGGTTTCCGCTTGCGGCCGGGCCGCGACGGAAATTCAACGTCCCCTTCGGGATTCCTTGCGCGTCGCCTTCGACGAAACGAGATCGCGAGCTAGTCCGGACATTAGTCGGCCGCCGCCCGTAAAAGTCCGCGGAATATACGGCGAGACTTTTGCCCTCCCCGCGTTACGACTGCGAATCGTATTACGCGTCCCCTTTCTCACCCCCTGCCCCCCCGCGACCCCCAAGAAGTCGGGGAAGTTTTAATGCGAAACCTCGAGTAGCGCCTTGCCGACGTCCCCGCGGATTCCGCTTCCTTCCGGCCGCAAAGAGAGTGCACCGAGGGAGCCGTGCCCCGCGTAGCATGATTTTCATTGCGAATGCATGTCGGCAAAGACCTCCGCTCGGCTCGGATCGGCTTGACTCGGCTTCTGAGATGGCGCGAAAACGGAGGCCCCTCGTAAATTGCGGGTGTCGGATAACGATTGCGGATTCCGCAGAGTTTGTCCCTTTAAACGGCGCGATGCGCTCGGAATCCATTTTCCTTTGAATGGCTCGCACATATCCATCCAAAGGGTATGACGTTTCTAAGAAAGGTTTATTTTTGTATTAATCTTGAAATTCCGGAATTTTTCATATTTCTCACCATCTTGAGCGGACAAATCGATGACGATCGACAAGAAACATTGATTTCCAATATTTATCGCCAGGCAAACGAGTCTCATCGATGCCAATCGGCGTGACGTTTATTCTTGTTTTTTTCCACCTTGTTAGATATCGATTTTCGAATATTCATCGCTAAGTCGAGGAGGCTTATCGATATCTATCGATGGCGTTCGGCGTCGACCACGACAAACCATCGAGTCACTCCAATTACTTAGGACGAGTGCACGAGCTCTCATGAATTATGCATCGGCCTTAATGACTGACTCGATGTGTACAAACGATGCGATATTTCTTTCCCCGGCGATCTGGTATCGCGAGGTCAGAGTTTGCGAAACAATCGCGGCTGATTTTGGGATCCGTGATTTTGAGATCAAGTGAACGAAAAAAAAAAAGGGGGAAAATATTTCGTTCGTGTATGCGCCTGGACTGCGTGCACTCGGCGTTGGCCTTAATTCGATAAATGCGTTACACCGCGTAAACCCGATATCATCTGATGGAACGGGAAAAAAAGGGCAGTGGACGGAATAGAAATAGGAATGTACAGGCCGATTCGAAATAGTAGGATTTGTCGAGCGAAAGCGGCGCAAAATCGTGCTGAGCTGGGAGTTTGATTTTATTGTCGTACCGTTTGACAAAGAAATCGATCGGTAATCGATGATAGATAGTAGTGAAAAAAATCCTACGCCTAGATATATCGAGATACGAGCAAAGTCGAGGTAATTGCTCGTCCTATTGCCGAGAATTAATTGCGGAATTTTACTGCCATTTTGTACCATTTCTCTCCTCGACCTCTGATCTCGTGCCGCCTTAATCATCGAGTACGGCGGCGATCGATCGAGCTTACGTCAACGATTGGAAATCGATTGTTTTATAATACTTGCTGGCTTAGTGTCTAACGATAGGCCTCTCAAAGGCTTCTTGTACAATCCGTTAATGGCGCAACGAGGCTTTCCACGAAGTGTACGAAAAGTACCTTGAAATTGTCCCCGAATTTTTTGAGTGGTCTCGAGATTTTACTCATCATCTTACAAGAAGACATCGCAAAAAATAGCCAAGACCGAATTTCTTTCGTCATCAGTGCCCTCACAAGAGATGGTCCAGACCCCCCAAATCCCTAATCTCCAGCAGCAAATCTATGATTCCCTCCAGCACGCTGCTATCGCAGTCCTTTTCGAGGAGATCGCAGATCTCCTCGGTGTCCATCTTGGAGAATTCGCCGATGCCGAGTGGATTCGGTGTTTTAATGACCGGCAAGAAGTAGGCAGTGACGAGAAACCCAATAACGGCGTGTCTTCTGTAGTCCTCCTGGAAGTTCTTCAGGGAGTAGATCTCCAGATTCTCGACCTCGTGTTCCACGAGGAACTCGAAGAGAGCATCGTGGTACGCCTTAAACACCTCGTGAAAGAACTCCCTCCTGTCCTTCGAGTGCATGCTGAGGTACAAAAACGTAGACACGTCCAAAGCCGGAGAACAATACGCGACCTGGGCAAAATCGATCAGCAGAGTCTTCAGCTCTCCGTCCGCCTCCTTGAACAAAATGTTGTTCTTCGTGAAATCGCCATGACACAACACGGCAAGCGGCTCCCTAGGAACATAGACGTCCTGGAAGATGAGCTTTACGTAGTCCCGGAAAATCTCCCGAATTTTCTCGCAAAATCCCGGATCTTCGGGAAGCCTCTTCACCAGGTACTTGTCCACCAGCCTCCTGGTCCAGAGTACCACGTACCTCTGCAGGCTATCACTCAGCTCCGATCCGAAGTCCCTGTTCTTCAATGCCCTGACATCCCTGAAGAAATCCTCGGGACACCTCTCCTTCAAGGTGTACCCCCTCCCATGAAACCTGGCGATCGCCCTCACCCCCGCGAAAACGTACCTCAGCTCCAACCTCACCCCCATACGCGCGCAGTAAAACCCGAATTTCTCCACATTTTCCATAACGATCACCGCATCTCCATTGTCCTCCAGTTCTGAAAACACGCACCTAGGCACATCTTCCCCAAAGTACTTGGCTAGTTTATCGTAAAACGTGATCTCGTTGCTGAAAAGCCGATCGCTTTCGATGTTCATCCTAGCCTCCATCAGCACCGGAGGAAGCTTTACGACCAATTGGACGTCTTTTGCGTTTTCAAGGGTCAGCTTCAGGAAGTACACCTCGCAGGCGTAGAAGACTCCCTGGGGGATCTTCACCTCCCACTTTGACGGGTCCTGTCCAGTCTTCAGGACCCTCTCGATTTTTGGCAGGACAGTTTCTCGCAGCCACTCGACGCGTTCCGTTGACGTTCCGTTCATTCTTGATGTCAATGAGTCGACTCGGCATCGGATAGGAATTCTGGGGTGTTTGTTGCGGCTCTCCAGTTTATGACCCCTTTTCCCTTGATAAAGCGTACCTCTTTTTTATTCGAGAGTACGACTGCTTTCCTCGCTCGGCGCGAATATCCGCGCAACACTGGCAGCGTTTTCGAGCTGCTATCGACGCGAGAGATCGTTCGATGTCGTCGGCTCGACTCGACGGTGAGGTCGAAGTTGCGTTTGTGTCGCGAGTGAAAGAGAGGGAGACCTTGGCCTGTGTTAATCATGCCTGTGTACACACTATATCAAGTTCGCGATGCCCACAGAGTGGACCACGCTTACGTAACTTCCCAGTACTTGGTTCTACTTGGATCGGTCTATTTTCATTCCTCAACTCTGACGTCACCATCACGCACTGCGTTGGTACGAGATTACTGATATCACCCAGTTATGGGCTAATCCGACCTGAATTTATCCTTCGAGTAGTTTGACCAATTTAGACGCCTATCAGATGTTAAATGATTTCTTCCAGTATTTTTCCAAATTTAGACGGTCCTTCACGTTCCTCTAGTCACGCCGAGATAACGCCTTGTGACATTGATAGTAAATTCTTATGATAATTCTTTGAGTTCATTGAACCTCGATTTTGGGGGATAATTATAAAAGGCAGTTCCCAGAGAAAAGTGGAGGATAAAGTCGAGGTCGCCTGATTAATTTTTTTTAAAGTTCAGTGTGGTCCAATTTTTGGGATGAAAGAGGAGTATAGTGAAAAGGTGGTTGGGAAAGGTCGAGGTCGCGATATGCAGCTCTTGTCGGGGAAGAGGACGAAAAATCGACTTGTTGGCTTGGGTCGGGTGAAATTAACCGAACTGGCTGAGCCCGAATGGCTTCCCTAGGGAGGCGTCTTCTCGGATGAGGAAAAATACAGTAGGCGAGCGGCCCATAAATTCGTCTCGGTCTAATATATGTAAATAACATACCGAGGCCACTCCTGCCCCGCCAAACAACCAGGCGATGTCGGAGAAAGAGCGCAAGAGGTCGGATATACCCACGGAAGTGGAAAACCTGCGGCCCGGACATTTCCGCGGGGAAACCGTGCTCCCGGAAAATGAAAGGAACTGGGAAAAGGCAGCCCAGGAGGACGTGAGCTTCGATTCGGGACGAGGAGATATTGTTATTAAAAAATATCACGTACGATCGCGGCCGTGCCTTTCCGACATCGTGCTGAATTCGCGCGCCCTGATCAGCCGCACTCTCTCGACCGGGCACAACTTTCCGGACGAACGGAGCGGAATCGCGAAAAGTGTCCGAAATAAAATTTACGGAGCACATAACGGGCGGTAATTTTCGTAGGATGCATTTTTTTCGTATCTCGCTCCGTTGCGAAGGAATTCGTGGATGGACATCCGGAGGTTTGCGCGCGAAAGGGTGAAAGGGAGTTTTTGTTGTTAATGGAGGGAAACGTCTCTGTCAATTATTTCGCGATGGGGAATTGATTCTGGCGTCGGCAGGTTTATCCGGGCAGCCTAATTCGAGGCAGATGGTGCAAGGAAAAGCGATTAGAGGAAAGATGTTTCCCCTGAATCAGCAGTCCAGGCCCAATGAAATTACTCGGTTCGAGGGGAACGCTCCGCGAATTATCAGATCCTACGAAAGTTTGAACATCTGGCAATTCTGCGCTATGCCGTAAATTTAATCTGCCCTGGTAGAGTGTGTACAGTGAAAATATATCACCTCAATGAACGTCAGCTAGCATACCTCCCCGCGTTGTTCGGACTGTCTCTAACAGAAATCGTCACAGCTGCGATCAGCTGACTCCAATCGGTATCGCTAACCGCATTTCACGGCCACGTGTTAAATCGATACAAAATAACCTTATCATAATTATTTCAAAACAATTTCAAGCCATTTCTATTTTTAATCATTTTTTCTCCCGATAACCGATACCACGTCGCGAAGTCAGCCACTCAGGAATTTCGCATACCTCCCTGTAAAGTAGATAAATGGGAAAAGAAAGGAAATAAAAATACCTGCCGCTAAAAGCTGCTAAATTTTGCAAAGGGTGGCGAGAGCGCATCCTCCTCCGCCCTTGTTCCTGGAGTCGCTGCATCGTTGCATCGCTGCACCGCTGCACCGCTTAGCGAAATCGCAAGTCGGGAGGGACGAAACTTTCGTTCTTTATAGACATGCAGTTCCCCTCCGGGAGAAAACGAAGGAAAAGGAAAAAGACGTGGAAAATCTCCCGACAAATCGTGCACGATTGCGTCCAAGAAGTCGAGTCCCGCGTAAACGTCGAGATTTATTGCACGCCGAGGGAGTCCCGGAGTTGGAACGGCGAAAGAACACGAGCGGAATGTTTTCCTATCGATATCTCGGTCCACGATATCTGGGTGCTTTATGGCCTAACGGCAAGTTCCGCGATAAGCCAGCGAGGCCTCGAAAATACTTTGGTCACGTATCAACTGAGAGAAATGAATCACATTTATCCACATTCCGGGGTGATACGAGAAATTCTCCCTTAAACGCCGTGAAATTTCGTTTGAATTCCTCGGATTTACCGAAATGCTGTGTCCACGGGCAAACCTAATCATTTAATAAACTCTCGACCCTGTCCGAGGCAAAGGGAGGAAAATATAGGGCAGCGGGCCAACGAGATCAAAGCTGTCCGAAATAGCGAACTTTGGGGGCGGGAGTTGGTTTCGATCGGGAAATGGATTGAATTATTCGGAAATAGCCACCCGCGGGGATTCGAGGGTTCGAAATGCTCGGCTTTTCATTCCTATCCTTTTTTTCTTCCCCCTGGGAAATGCGACTCTTAGGGGATGATTCGGCGCAAGAATGGGCGGGCCGCCGGAAGGACCGGGCGGGAATTAAATTTCCATTGTAAATTCCGCCGTAAATTATGGTCGTAATAAGCAATAATTCTTCTTATCGCGGATCGCCGGGGTGAATTTATTCCCCGAATCGAAACCGTCGCGGAATTAACGCAGGCTGGCTGTCTTGAGCGGAAGGACCGCGCGCGCTTTTGCGCGCCAATGTCCGCGAGATTACTTTGGAATTCCGGGCTCCCGATATTCCGTGGTAAGCCCGGGTTTACAGTGCAAAGTACTACGGGTTTGCCCTGCAAACAGCCGAGTTTCGATCCTGCAAAACCTCCTCTCTGACCACCCCCTTGCCGCGGACTATCCGGCCCGGATGTGCCTCGGGTGCGCAGGACCAAACTTTCCTCAGAAAATTATAACTAACAATTAAAACTCCTCCTCTAAACTGCTACGCTCTTTTGATCCTTCAAATAACGTCCGTTTTGAGAATTTCCGTTTAGAAAATAAAAAGCAAAATTAAATATCAATCGTAAAATATTATCGTTAGCTCGGTAATCGCGAAAGTATAAAGAAAGAAGTAAAAAAAAAAGAAAACTCAATCGTCGGTCGACGGGATTCGATCGAGGTGTCGTGTCGAAAATTGTATACGTATTCTCGCCCCGTGCAGAGTCGTTCCCGCCTTTCGGTGTTCGCGGAAATGGCCGATAACGCGGCGAGAGGGGGCCGTCGACGTTTTTACCGCGTGTACCGGAGAGAGAGAGAGAAGCACACGTACCGAAATAAACGGGGAGGAACGGCGGGCCCGTGTAACGAGGTTACGCCGACCTGACCCGACGCGGGCAAAACGTTCGCGAATCGTTCGCGTGACTGCCGAAGCAAATCCCATGGATAAGCCTAATAACGCCGTCTCTCCGCGAGTCACGACACGGCAATTCACCCCGAAACTGGCGCGGAACTGTTTCGAAGCAGTTCCGAAAGCGAGAACGCGAACAGACCCCCGGGACTCGGGCTCCTTAAGGTCGTTTTCGACCGACGGTTCCGGCTTTGCGGCTTTCCGAAGGAACCTCGGGAATCCGGGATGTCGTCGGCACCTTTTCCGCGAGCGGTCGCTTAGGTTCGAGCGCGCCGCGCCGAGATCCCCCTTTGCATAAGAATTGCAACTAATACCGGGGCTCCAAGTTAAACACTCGTTAGGTTAATGAGTCCTCGAAAGCAGGAAGCTTTTGTGCCGTTAACTCGGGCACGAGGTATGCCCCCGCCACCCGTGCAAAATTAATGACGCGTGCGCGCCACCGTCGAGGCGTCGCGACGCCAGTCCCCTCCGAGGAGCGGATCAGCTGTTCCCTCTAATTCGAGCTGCCCCTCCAAATGCGGATTGCAGTCTTTAACGCATTTTTTCACTCTTCCTTGCAAATTACTCCGCCATCAAACAAGGATTCACGTTATTCATCTTTTTTGTCAATACTTTGTTCTTAATTTTTTTTTTGCAGTTTACATATCTTTTTTATCAAATTGTTCTTCACAGCCAAATGTAAATGTCCCTGAAACGCGAATCTCCGTTGTTTATATTTTTTCCTCTTTCCCTTTATATTTTTCTTTAACAAATGACTCCCTTTGCCCACATCGCGTTTCGCTTTTCGAGGCGAGCGAGCGGATGGGAGGTCGCCGAGCTCGGCGGGGTAGTTTTCCTTTATACGCGGCGTAAAATAAAATTTCTATGAAGAGGAGGATCCCGAAGGAGACGCGCAGGGTTGGGGGAGGTCCTAAAGGATTCCGGGAACCTTCGGAAATAATAAATCGTTCGATCCATCGGAAAGCGGAGGTCGAGATCGGGGGCGCGCTCTTTCCCAGGGTCGATCCTCGGCCCTGGCGAGACTGGCACCGGAAACGAAGGCGATATCGCTTATCCGTATCCCTTTCTGTAGTATCAGCCCGTGCAAAACGAGCGGACATTGCAGAGAGAGAGAAGGGGGATACCCCCCGGTGATTTATCTCGCCTCGTTCGAGGGACGCTCCTCTTTCCCGGAGATTCCGCGGGATCGCGCTCATCTTTGTTCTAATCTAAGAAAGAGGATCTGCGCTCGCGGGGGTTGGAGAAAATAACCCTCTTACGGGGGGGAGGGGTGAAGGAAGTCGATCTGTCGGGGAGAGAGGAGAAATTCCCTCGGGAGGAGTCGCCGAAAATGGGTCTCCAGATTCGGGACTCCGAGGGGGTTCTCTCCCTTCTGTTGCATCCCCGAATTCTGGAGTTCACGGGAAAATGTCCCGACTGTTGAGGGGTGGACAATTCCCGAATTTTTCGATTCTCTCCAGAGGCTCCCGAATTTTTCGAATTCCTCCAGAAACCCTTGAATTTTACTTGAATTTTTCCAGAAACTCCTGAATTTTTCAGGAAAATGTCCTCGGTGAAGAATCGTCTTCTTGGAGAGAAAAGTGCACTTTTTATCCCCAAGTTCCAACCTCGATCTGGGTTGGGCCACTTTCCTAGGGAATAAAACACGCGTGTCCTGTGACGTCGAGTGCGAGTTGCGACAGCGCCACTTGTCTTTACGGGCCACATCCATTAGGGGGTGGAAACGGGGGGAAAAGGAAAAAAGTGAGAAAAGGAAGGGAAACGAGGCCGGGGTTGACGAGTCGCTTCCACGGGAATAATTCCCCTCGATACTTTGGCGTCTCTCGTAAACGTGAGAAATATCCTTTTCAGGGGGCGAAGGGGGGCGTGAAACTTTTCGAAAACTCGGAGGCGCGAGGACGCACACAATAGGGGCGGGAGGGGGTTCATTCGGAAGTTTGCAGCCCGGGGGAGAGGCACTTTGGCGTGGATAAAAAAAAAAAGAAACGCGCCTATCCCCGACGATGGGAGTCGGGACAGCGGTACTTGTCTTCATGGTTTACATCCGTCAGAGGGTGAGATGAGGGAAAAAAAAATGGAAAGAAACGTATAAAGGGGTGCGAGCGCGAGAAAAATGTCGCGCCTCTCCGGTGAACCGCGGGGGGCACAATGCGAGCGCGAGGGGCTTTATTTGGCCTAGGGAGCTTCTTTTGGAAAGTTACCCCGGAAGCTTTTACACCCTTCTCGTTCCGAGGGGAGGTTTACTGCCCCTGCCCCGCCTCTGGGACGCGCCACCCCCCGCGAAGCTCGCAAAGCCATCCTCGGATGCGCCCAGCGATATGCTTCCGCCCTTCGGGGGAGAGCTCCAGGGATAGCGCAGGGACCTCCAGGGCCTTTTTAGTCCACCTTCGGACGAATTTGCATGTCAGCCGGGATAAAAATTCGCTCCAAAGCCTGGTACAAATTTTTTCGCAACTTTTGAGTTTCCCTGCAATTTTTTATGTCGCTATTCGCAACCCTTGAGTAAACTTCTCGCTTCGTCGTCCCGAATGTCCTGACAAATTTTCCGAATATTTAATCATTTTTCTCACTTTTATAACACTTAAGCCACAAATATTGTTGCGTAAAAAATTTGCGAGATATGAATTCCCTGGGGAAACGCTAAGGGAAACAATTCGCGCGAAAAAGGGGTGCCTCCACCCTCGCTCCGCCGTTTATTCCGCCGAATTTGCATACCACGTGGGATTCCCTCCAAGAAGAAAAACTCGGCTCGTTACCAGCCACGAAATACCGAGCCCGTTTTTTTACCTCCCCTAAAAAATTCCTCCCTAACCTTGAACCCATCGATCGGGTAAAATCGGGAACAAGGGAGAAAACCGATGATAATCGAAGGATAACTTTTCCTCCCGTTTCCCTCTTCCTCATCGAGGAAGGGGCACGTTCCGACCGCGCGGTTTCCGCGCCGCGAGGCCAGGGGTGGAGATAGGAAAAATGGAAAAATCGGGGAAATCGGGAAATCTACTGAAGGGCTTCCCCATACCGCGGGGCGTCCCGGTGATCTCTGAAGACGCCTCCGGGAAATCTGGAGGCGCGCCTCGATGGGACGCTTACGATGGGTCGAACGGCCCGCCTCGAAAGGGGCCGGTCTGTACATAATACATATATATGTACGTATTATGTACTCTCTTTTCGCACCTCGTCCATTATGGCACCCATCGACGAGGCGATATTATGTCCAACATCGTGCTTAATGGCGCGTCGAGCTCGATAACACCTCGAGCTCGGATTGAATATCGGCCCACCGATATCGGCACTCGTTTAGGTTCACCCCCAACCCCTCCTGAAGTTTCAAATAAATGACGCAGAACGGGAGCCGCGATCCCCTAGGGGTGCAGACCCCCCGCGAAGATGCGCGCGCCCCAATGTACGGCCGGATCGAGCTACCGCCGGCGTTTTTTTCCCCCAATTTTTTCCGCCCCCTTTTTCCGGGTCACTGTCTCTCGTAATACTCGCGATAATTGGCCCGTAGGTGGATGGGAGAAATAAAATAATTGCCGTGCTCAGGGGCGGTCCAAATTCGGGTTAAATGGGTGTCCACTGCGCGCCGCGATCGGCTTAATGGGAATCGATTTTGTCTCGGCTCGTGTTTTCGTTGGCGAAACTGCGCGGATAAGTGCTCGTGAAATTGCAGTTCTCTCGGTTTTTTTTTTTTCGTTTTTCAACCGGTCATGGCGCTTTCGATTACTTAACGTCACCGAGGGTATTACTTGACGTAAGGATCCAGGTACGTCGTCGGTCGGGAAGCGCTCCACATCTCTGGCCGATTAAACGGATGGAATTAAATATCGCTTCCTTTTATCGACGATTCGACCAGGCCGGTCGTGCTTAATCGGCGATTCCGATTCCGTTTACGAGCCCGCCGGGATTTACTCGAATTCGAGTCTCGGAGTTAAATCGGAGAGAGAGGGATTCCGAAGGAGGAGAGTCAAAACCTAGAGGCCAAAACGGAGAGAAAGACTGCGATATTTAGCCTTTCTATTTTTACGAAGATATTTTTCCCATTTCAAGATGAAGAGTTATCGGTAGAGCCTTAGAGGGAAAGTGCACGAAAATACCCCAGGGCGCCCGAAATTCCCCAAAAGGGGACGCGCCCGTCTTAATCAGTGACCACCCTCCAAGCCGGACACGTCGCGTCGGCTCGACCTGATAACGGCGATTTGGGGCTCCCGGCTAGGTCGCGGGGAGGAAAATCCCTCGGAAGGACCTTTGCCCGATCGAATTAAACCGGGTAGATAGCCGCGGCGAGTTATCTCGGCGAATGGGATGGAGGCGGGCTCCGGCTCGTAGCCAATGTCCAATATTTGCTTTTGGCCAAGGCCCGAGGAGTAATCAGAGTATGGCGTAATTTAATTACTCGCAAGCTTCCCCTACTCCCGCTGGGGAGTAATTCGTAATCGGTGCGCGATGGCCGCCGGCCGCGGAAAATTAATCGAATCTCTGCCCCGTTGTAAACGCCCCCAATCCCCCTTTGCCCCCTAGAGGAAGCCACTCATGTAAAGCTCGACGAGGAGCGAATTCCGACGTTTCGCTCGTCACTTCGAGCTTTCGCCATCTGACGTCCCTGGAGTCATCCTCGAGACCTCTTCCAGGTCGGGATAAATTTTTTTTTTTCTCTATTTTACATATTTTTTTCGGGGGATATTTTCTTTATTTTGGATCCTTGGGAGAACCGGGCCCGACGTATATGTCGCTTTTCCAGACTGTTGCCGAGCCGCGGTCCACGGGAATGGCGGCAAAAGCTCGGACTCCTCGCAGAACAGCCTGGAGGAATCCTCGCCCTCGGGGCCGTACTTCGACACGACCGCCTCGAAGAATGTCACGGCACTCCTGGGAAAGACGACCTACCTGAACTGCCGGGTGAAGAACATCAGCAACAAGACGGTGAGTTTTTCAACCTTCCCTTCTATTTCTATCTTCTCCGTCGCGTTCTCCATAACCCAGCGGCAGGTCAGCCGTCTCGGATCGTGGAATATGAATTTTAATCATTCCTCGAGGTACCTCTCCGTCCGAAATCCAGGGACATTTCTATCCCCGGATTTTTATTAATCGCGGCCATTTATTAAAAAGGTACCGAGGATATTCCCGTTGCTCGTGTCTTAATAATCGTTTTCACTCGTGGCCGTACATTTTACCGGGTATCGATCCTTCTTTATTTCTGGCCAGTCTCGGTTCTTATAGGGTGAATAATCTCGCACGGTCAGTAATTACCCCCATAGGGGGTGGATATATCGCGGCACGTGGGGGGTGCAAAAGTTACGAGGGTCGCGTTAGATATCCTCGGGCAGGAAAGAAATACGTCAAATAATCGTTTCGAGCCCGATACCTCGAGCGAACGGAACGACCCCTGTGTGTGGGTACTCTTCCTGCACCTGCGCCTGCACTTGCACTTGCATCCGGGTGCAAGCGGTGTACGAGGGGGAGGACGTGGAGACGCCACCGAGGGCGCAGGAAAAGCACGCAGGAAAACGTTTTTCTCTCGGCTGGCTGCGGCGAAATATGGAGTGTCAATATTTCACCCTCACAATGGGCCGCACCACCTGTCTCCGGCAAACTGTAGTGGGTGCATCGGAAGTGCACTCGGGTGCCCGGACCCCGACAATGCCATTGGCCGGAGCTTTTCGACGTCCCCTAAGTTTTGTCCCCTTGATCTACTGTAATTACTCGACTCGGCCGCCCCCGCCTTTCCTCGGTAATTTCGAGCGCACTCCCTCTTTCCCTTTTTTCTACTCCCCTCGAAGGACGTACCGAGCCCCGTAAAACCTGAGACACCCCGAAAAATATTTTCCTTGGCTGGAAAAATGGCTCGTCGTCGCTGAAAGGATTTCTTTTTATTTCTACGATTTTCCAAGTGACTTTCTAACTCGCGTACGGAGACTGGGGTGGTTTCGTTAATTGATGGTGATTTTGTAAACTGAGCGAGGAAATCTTCATTATGGGCTAGATGAGAATCGAACTTAATGTAAAGGGGTGTCTCCATTCGGAGCGACGACCATTTCGCCAGGGCCCAAAACAAATACTCCAGACTTGGATATATCTCTATGGAGATATTCGAGCGTTTCCATGCATTTTTCGAGCGCCCTCCTCGTCTCTCCTCGACTATCCCGGGGACGTATCCTGGGGACACGTCCGATTCCTCAAGACCAGACGGCCCGACGGAGGGAACGTATGCGAGCACAATCGAATGATAGATGCGGTATCGAGTATAAAGAATGTCCAATACCTTCCCGGGAACCCGACGTTATTTCTCAATCGTTTCTCTTGAGGGCATCGGCGAACCCGCGTTTCCCGACGTCGCGATCGAGGGTCGTCGATCCCGATTCACGGCCATCGCTTGTCGCTTTGGTCGGAAAATCGCCTCGACGATGGCTTTCCAGAAATGCTCCCCTCTGGACCAGCCAGGAAAAAGACCCGTTCAAGTACCGGGAACCGCCTAAGCGAGACATTTTACTGGCATCGAAGCGGCATTTCTCCCAATACTTATTAATTACTAATTTTGTCCATTCAAACCGAATTTTAATTCCGGAAATTAATTATTCCCTTCTCGGGGTATTTTTTCGGCTTCACCGATCGGCTGGGGGAGGGGAGAGGTGCCTTCCTCCCGATTCCCATTTTCGAGGTCCCTAACGATTCCCGGGTGTTTGCAAAATGGACCGACGGAGCGCGAAACTTGGGAGGAATCCGCGGTCAATATTGGTTCTCCAAACAGGAGGGTTGACGGATCCTCTCTCTCTCTCTCTCCCTCTCCCATCCGGCTATCCGACTCGTTTGTAAAACTTGGTCTTAAATTTGCGAGTCGCGAATCGATTGCTAGACGACTCCTCGTTTTCGGGGGATGGAAAGAGCCCCTCTAGGTGGAGCAGCCGCAGCCTGCGGGATTCCGGGCTTCCGGAATTGCCGAATTCTCGAATTTCCCGAATTCCCGAATTTCCGAGTTCCTCGAGTAGGGGTCCCGGGGGAATGAAAAATTCAGGGCACCTCCCGTAGAGGGGGAGGCGGCGATTTAATGCAACTTTCGCAATTGGAGCCGGGCCCGAAAACGAAGATTTCGCCGACGTATCCGGACACGTCGAAGAGCCGCATCCTAGGACCTCCAGGTTTCCATGTGCCAGGCACGTATGTCCTGCGGGGTTCCCCAGTCTTTTATTCCCTCTCCCTAGGACTACCCTCTGCGTCTTTGCCATTTTTTTCGGCCGTCTCCGCTTCTTTGCGCGGGACCCTCTCTTTTCTTCCTCTCCGAGAATATACGTACAGGTGTGTGTACCATTTTTTCTTCTTCTTCTTCCTTTTTTTACATGCCCTTAGGTACACGAGTCGGCAGTAAAATCTCGCCGTTTCTTCTCTTTACGACCCTCGCCGAGTAAGAAACGCAACCGCGAGGGCGGAAAAGTAAAAGTTGAGGCAAGGGATTTTCATTATTTTCTCTCCCCCCTATTTTTCCTTCCTTTTTATTTCACTTTCTAGGTTAGGACTCTCGGAGCCTCGAATTATATCCCGCGGAGCGACGATTCGATTTCAGGGGGACCTCGGTCGATACTTGGTAATTGCCAATTACCGAGTTCGCGTCATTAAAGAAATTGCGCGGACGTATGTATGTACGGAGGTGGAGGTCTGTTTAAATATATATGGCCGTGTTTATTATGCCCGTGGGACGTAAGCATCAAACACTCGGTGCCTTAATGGCCACGGTAATATCGGGGCTAGAATCGTCGCGTATTACGGTGCATTTGCGGCTGAATAAGAACCGAGCAATTAAACGACACGAAACGAGAGCATTAATTCCGGGCCGTTACTTGTCTCGGCCGATTGACAGTCGCTTCCACGAGGCCCGATTGGTCGTCCCGGATCGAATTAATCGCGTAAGGGATTTCGCGCTGCTCGTATCAATGACGACCTCGTTAAACGATCGCGTTAACGTAAGTCATAAAATCGGAACCGTGATCGACGTTTAACACCTACCCGGATATAAATAAACAATAGGAGCGTCGCATAGATTCTAGCGACATCGTGAAAATAAATTGGGAAAATTGATTCCTCCTTTCGGACAATCGGAAGCCTCGCGTAAATTCTCTCGGCGGGAGGAAATTAATTTTCTTTGGAGCGATCGAAGAAATTCCGAATTTTTTTTTTTATACTTCCGGGACCTCGTTATCAGTCCTTTAAAAAGAGCAAAAGCGGGGACGCACCTCGCCGGTGCATATAATATGCAGTTTGACGTTGTCGTCCGGTTTGTCCATCGGCCAGGAAGGAGCGTAGTGACGACTCTTATGAATAATTAATCGACACCCTTGTAAAGGGGCGAGGGGCTAGGGGTCCCCTGTTTACGGGGGACCGGGAAGTGACGTCACAGGACGATACGTCCGTTTCGGTCCTGGTGACGTTTCATAAGTCATTAATTATCCATTATATCGCATCCTCGTGTACGTCGGCCCGAGTTGACACGGCCATCAACCCCTGCATGTCGCGCTTTCGTCGTTCACACCCCTTTTGCTCTACACGATCCGTGGACCCCCTGCAGGGGTGCATCGGGTATTTTTCCCGGACACGCGAGAGGCCCCCCCATGTCGAATCAAAGCTCCGGCATTCCGATCGATCGAATCCCCGTAATTCCATGATACACCGGCGCGCCACCGATTTGCCGGGGGAAAAAAAAAAAAATTGTGACCGCGCGGAAGATAAATAAAAAGAAATAAAAATATCGCCCCAGAAACGGGAGCGAATATCGCGGGAAATGCGACGAGCCAGGTTTTGGGGGAATTTTTAGTTTTACGGACGGTTTGCAGGAATTTTCAGACTTAGGATTTGGTAATGACGAATGATAGGGATTGTAATGAGTTATCAGGGTTTGATCCGGAGAAATCGTGGGTTTTTTTTTTTTTCGGTGAAGACGGAAATTGTCACCATTGTTTCTCCGCTGTTTGATAATGGGTCTAGCTACCTGCTTCAACTGTGCCATTTTTAGAGATTATTCCGGTAGTTGGATCGTCGGTGCGCGTAATCGTTGCCGGCGAAAAGTGCGATCCCTTCGCGGGCGCGTTATCACCTGACGCATCCACCTGTCTCATCCGATGAAATTATGCGGATGCATGTACGCGACCGCACACGGTCGATACCAGGCGGGGTTTACGCGCGCCCTGATCGGTATTTCGACTCGACGGCGTATCGGGTTCCAAACGCGATCACGTTCGCGGCCAAACCGCGGCGTCAATTCCGCAGGAACGCGCAGCTGAATTTCCCTTTCGAGCGACTTTACGAGGCACCCGAGACCGAGCCCCGGCAATGGCCACGTCGCGAATTTCAAAGCGAGCCGAGCGTAGCCCTTCCGCTCGTAAAACTCGACTTCCGGCCCGAAAGACTCCCGCTTTGGGACACCAAGCCTCCGCGATCGCCTGGCTATCGTTTGGATCCCCCTTTTTTTATTAATATCTACATTACCTCAGGGCATGGTTTACCATTTTACGATAAAGATTTCCACTCCCGGACGCCGCGTCTCCGCGACCGTCTGGCCATCGTTCGGATCGTATATTTCTTTCCTTTATGAAATCCATTCCCAAAAAGTCCATCCGCCGTTCTCGCGCAAGAGAAATCCCGGAATTAATCTCCACGCCACCCCAGGGCTTGATTTATTATTTTATATAAATCTCCGCGGCCGGGGCGATTCGCGCGGTCGACCGTGGTCGAGCGGTTTTGAAAAATGGCCAGGTGGCGTTTTTCCAGAAATTGCGATCCTCCGATCGAGGGAAATTCGGAAAATTTGCGGAAACTCGCTTCCTCCGCGCGGAATGGACGGGCGGAATCTGCTCCTCGCGTGTCCGCTCCCGTCTTCTAATCGCGAATCCGCCGCGGAAACGCGCCGCGGACAAAGGCCCGACCGCACACACGGG